CTACTGGAGGCACAAAATCTTCATTCTTTGATAGAGACAAAGAAATAAGAGCCCGTCCACAATGTTCGAAGATGAAGATGATGTCTCAACCAAGTGTAAATTTTGCTAAGATTAAACGAAAATAATAACTTTTGCTGAAGAAAAATGATGCAGGATAGGATGCTGCTTATTTTTGAATTTTCCTTATTAGATTTGGGAATGTTTAAGGGTTCATTTTAAGTGTTTTTAAACTTTTTTTAAGGGATTTTAGGATTTTTTTTAAATTGATAGGATTGTAGTTGTTCAGAAAGGTAGAGTGCTTATGGAATTACTTGTTTTTATCAAGGGTAGAAATGTCACAATGAAATTTGCTGATTTTCTAGCCCGAGGTTTACTGATTTCAGCCAACTTGCTGATTTCAGCCTAGGGTTTGCTGATTTCAGCTAACCCGTGGCAACAAGAGGGGGGCGTGGAAGGGCAGCTCATTTAGCCTGATGCCAGAGATGAAGAAATTGAAGATCTCTAAGGCAAGTTTAATGAACATCACTCATGGGAAGACAGTGATCTTTTGCCCAAGAAGATGTTGAATACAACCCTTTTCACCGTTGTGCTTTGTGCGTGGAGACACGTGAAGAGGAAAATGTTAGAAGACCTAGATGTGGGTGATATCACTCCAGGGTTTTTGTTTTGAAGGTGGACATTCTTGATTTTGATGCAGTTTGCATAGAAAAGTAGCAGATTGTAAATTTGAATTTCCACAAACCTTTGACACATTCTTAGATGAAGAACAAAATCTTGTAGGAGATCCGATCTATGATGAAGAAAAAGTTTTTGTGGTTGAACTGGTCTTTGATGAAGAAAAAATGTAGGTCTTCCAGGAGAATAAATAGGTGAAGCTGTTGGTTTGATCATCGAACCGGGGCTTATCTTGAAGATGCTCCCTTGGTTTGTTTTAGGCTGAGCCACGACAATTTTAGCAGGGTTATTTGGTTGAACTGATTCTATTTCAGCTAGTTTATGTGACCGAATCGAGCATATATATCATGGTTGTTTCATTGATAGAATGACCCTTTCGTCCAGGGTTTCTCAAAAGTGTTTATGATTATGTCAAATGATTCCAAACCCTCATTGTTAATGCATAATGGTTGTGTTTTGATTGGGCTAATACCCATAGGTCTTAGGATTTGAAGCATAACGCTTGGGGTGAAGAAGGTTGTGTCATTAACACAAAATTCATCTCAGCTTACTTAAAATACTCGAAAATGAGTTTTCTTCAACTAGAGGTGATTGATGCAGGACAATATACTTCTTACTTTTAATTTTCGTATTGAATTTTGAAAGTAGTGGCTATGTAGGATTCTTGGGATGTAAATTAAAAAATTTACTTTTTTTTTTTTTTCTGTTATTAGCAACTGGGTAATTCTATTTATAATGCCAAATTATACGGCAGAAGCATAAAATAGAACCTAAATACAACCTATGGATCTCAACTCTTACCGCCTTAAAGAAAAATGGAAACTTTATTCATAATCTGAATTTAATTATAAGTAAAATTCTAAGTCAAATAGGAAATCCTAATTCAAGTAGGAATCCTAATTCATTAGAAATTAAGAACAATAAAATAAAATTAAAACTCAAAAGAAACACGAAAACTTGGGAATACTTATCTAATCTTTGCCTAGGGCCACCCCCATAGGACTTAGCACAACCCACTCTCGATGACCAGACCAACGATGCATTGATCCTTGGCCCTACTTGAGCCCTCCAAATCTGGGTAGCACCCATGGTAATAGCCTCTCACAAAATTGGGGCTGAGAGCTTTAATAAACTAGGGTTTGTTTTCAACCCTTTAAACCTAGGGCATGCCACAATATGGCACCACCCCCTGAAACCAAACTAGGCTGGGCGTGCCCTCTCACAAATGAGAGGGAAGGAGAGAGAGAGAGAGGTCTCTGCAGTAACACATGATGGGAATGAAAGGGTTCCCCCTTATACATAAGCCCTCATGGCGTAGGGTATGCCATCTTCCAATAGGACTCAAATTTGACCATGGAGTTCTATGTGATTTGTGAGCAACAAAGAATCAAATTTGAGGCATCCTTTCTTTAGATTAGGGATCATGATTATTGAGGAATTCTATAACCATTACCCCTCAGATCCTTAACCCATATCCACTTCTGCTTGGACCAGAACTATATCTTCCATAATCCCATAAAATTTGGGATGTTTCTTACATAGAAACATCTTCTAATTACTTTAGAAATCAAGAGTCAACGAAAACATCTAACTCAAATCTAATTTGGTCAAGGCTTAACTAACCAAATAAAAAATAATTCTCTTTAAGAAAATTATGCTTAACAAATCATTAAAGGACATGGGGTGGCCCTCCCATAAGGGTTGGATTTGTGGGCCTAGTGGGGCCGACGTCGTTGCCCACTTGGGTCCCCCAATGTGTGGGGTTGGGGGTTGGGCTTTTAGCTCTCCACATGGGTCTTGCAAAACCGCTCATAAGTTTGGAAATATCAGAACGCCCTTTCTAGGTTTTTATGCATAAAATAAATTTATTGAAATTTTGAAAAACATTTAAAAATTGCAAAATCATAAATAAGGTTGGAAAATAATATTTCTGATAATACCAAAAATTCTGAGACACATTTAAAACAGATCTAGAAGTGGATTGGTACTAATGGGTTATAAATAAATGATATCTTTGAGGCACTCCACCAAGATCCACAACCATCTTCTCAAACTAACTCAACAAAACCCATGACCCACAGTCAATCGCAAGGGCTCATGATTGGACTATCAAAGTTGGTCAGTAAATAACGAAACCATGAATCTAGTGTGTGGATTTCTGGTCCCCCTGCCAAACAAAAGCAAGTGATATCCATAAGGATGCACACACACATATCGCTATAGTACAAGGGAGCACTATCTTATATACATAGTGCCCTCTCTATAGCGATGCTTCTCCAAAATGCGGCTATCATGTGTACATGCCATGCGATGGTTATTGAAGAATTGGCCATTGCCCTCACAGGCCTACAACTACACATGGGAATTCCGGTGGCTTCCTTGCTCTCGTCATAATTTTTAGGCATCTCTTTGACCTCAAGAAGGGATGATCATTGAAACCCTCATTGGTAGTGGCTATGCCCAGGAGTACAGGGTTTCTTGATGTGACCTAGACCATAAACTGCGTAACCTAAGTCTAGTCAACCAATATTCCCACTGGAGTGTGAACATCCACTATAAAATATTTACTTTAAAATGCTTTCAAGGCCTACAAGTTTTAAGGATGTATTTTTGGAATATTTTTGGGTGTTTGAGTTTTTTGAAGCAATTTTATTTTTTGAATAAAATTTTTAGGATTTTAAGATTTTTTTTAAAAGTTACAATGCTTGTACTTACAAACTTTGTTTAATTAGGACTTCCATTTCAATTAGAATCAGGATTTCTTGGGCTCTGAGTAAGGTCTTTTATTATAAGTAGGGGTCTATGTAGAGAATTTAGAATGAAGAGAGTTGACTTTTTGATATCCTTTTTCCTGGGTTAGCAATTAAAGCCTGGCTTATAGGCTCCCGCTTTAATTTTTCATTCAATAGATCATCTCATTTTCTTTCTTGTGACATTTACTCTGCATCAAAAAATTCACTTTTTTCTACCTAGTACCCATATTTATAGGCAAGGGGAGGAGGAATCAAATTCTCATGTGCTGTAAGAGCAGTTGACACAATTCAGGTGTATGAGTTGAGGTGGCACAACTGTTAACAATTTTAAGCATTGAGAATGAGTGCGATGATTCATCCATGCTCTTTTCACAATGAGTTGTGCGCACACACCCACACAAAGGAAGAAGAAGCGAAGTGTCGCACAATGAAAGCGGAGTTTTATGACTGGGTAGGCTTAAAGAAGATAGTAAATGAGTAAATGGTTCTTTTATTGGTGATTGACTAGTGAACAGGTTCCGTTTGTGATGCACATATACAGCTCCAGACATAGCTAAAAAATCAATTGTCTGTGATTTTACATAGTTTTTTAAAATATCCATGAAGGATACCCATTCTAAAGTATCCATGCATCATATGTTTCCTCTTCTGAGGAGTTTATTGCTGGATAAATAGAAGTTATCCTTTCCCTCTCTAGATTGTCCCTAATTCAAACCCCACTCTTCAAGGGAGAGTGAGCTTTGTGTCACGACCCTGCCCACGCCCCCTGGTCCCTACTGCCTAGCAGGAGGGCGACAGGGTACGGGATCGCGATCGGAGGTCGCGACTGGCACTTAGGTGGGAGTGGCTCAACGCATATAAAATTTTCGGAATCAAAGCAAACCACGAAACAAAATAAATTCATAAAACAAAAGGCCATGAACTAAGCAAAATAAAACCATCTCATATAAATATATATATTCAATCTCCAAAAATTCTTTTACAAAATGTTCAAGCCGCTACCGGCCTGCCAACAAAAATACAATATTCATCAGAATGATAGCGTGGCACTGCCACCAGACACCTACAATCAAAAGATCCTTGGATAGAACTCGAGCTTCAAAAGTCTGCTACCACCGGCCAGCTGCCCACGCATGAGCTAAAGGTTCTCACTCTACATAGAAGGGAAAAAAAAGAGGTATGAGCTAAAAGCCCAGTAAGTAAATCAGTACCCTTGCAGTCCTGCCTACATGCACACATGAGGGATAATAGGCCCACAGATTATTACAGTTCACGCGGTGTCATAGAATAATGTCATGCATCAGAGTATACTGGCGGAATATACAGAGTAAAGTTTAGGTATTAAAACCTCGCACATTTACATGAGCTAATAGTTACATGAACATTCCTCAAAATCACACAGTCAGAAACTTAGTTAAAGCATACAATTTATACAGACAGAAGCTAGTAGTGCCTACTCTTGAAGTAGAAGCCCCATCGATCAGGCTAAGCCAATCCTGTAACTTGGAACTTCTACCCTCATTCAGGAGGGAGGACAATGACAAATGGAGTTCCCATTTCGTAATGTCCTTACTCGCACACACAATCCCCAGTGCGCTTTGGGGTTTTGATAGGCTGAGGCCTTGCAAGACACGACCATCTCCTTGCATTTCCAGGCGAGAGGGCGCGACCCACCCTGTTATTTACAGTTACCTCCCGACTCCACTCCTATCTTGCGAGGTCACTTAGACCTTCATGCCCGGGCTCAAGCCCAGGAAACTCGGGAAAGGGACCCCAAACCCCTTACTCCCTCTCTACTGGCATCAATGACAAGTCTATTGTTGTCAACTGCATGAGCACTTCTAAAACCGCCACCCCTTACTTGTGGACCCTCCACCAGTCTTAAGCTCAAGGGTGGTCCTAACACCACTACCTCTTCTCTCGTGGTCGGCTCTTCTAAAGCCACCACTTCAATGGGTAACCATAAGGTCACCGCATCTCCACTCCACAAGGGCACTGCTCATCCTGGTATGATGCCTCACACACTTCATGCTGACGAATTGATCGCTAGACCATCTACCGCGAAGGGCTTTAAAGCCGTTCGACACACCCTCACTCACATCACTACGAATGGCTCAGCCATTGCAGTGATAAATCGGGACAAGCAAAAGCTAACACCACCTCACACTACATTGCATAATACTCATTTAGCTCAGGGCAATCCAAATATTGCACCCGAAAGAGCACACAACCCGTGACTCAGTTGTAGGTCCCAAACAACTATGTACATGCTTGCAAACCAAAGTGGTCCTAAGACCACTCCAACTGCAAAGGTCAACATTTGAAACGCTAGACCTCTCTCTTCACTAAGGGTTGGCTTCCAAACCACACCCAACACTTTTGCGGATCAAGCACACACATGCAGTTCCAATGTTGTCTGCGGCTTTAAGGGGAAGGGCTGGCAGTATATGCCCTTTTCTACCCCCAAAACCATGACAACATGGTATTCAAAGAAATTCCCTTCGAGTACACTCTTGTCAACCCCTTCTACATCCCATGTATGTGTTGGCCCTCAAGGATGGACTCAGGAAAAAATCACGGCCCCAAGGCTGATGGAACAGTCCCTCCCTTCTTCTTCAAAAACCAAACTTCCAAAGGCGACCCCGAACTCCCTACTCTTGGGGCACCGCTCCTTACCTGATTGACTTTGCTTTAATCTCTTTAAGGCAGGCCAATTAGAAGGATGCCATTCCCAATTCCAGTTCTGGGAGCGCATCTAGTGGAGTTTGAGAATCAAGCAGTAAAAAGGCATGAAAGTGCCGCTCCTAAGAAAGAAGCCAGAGTCTTCCACCTCTGAAGATTTATTAAAGAAAAACCCATTCTACCCATTGCAAACTACTAATGAACCGAAAATGAACTGTACCGTTCAATGCACAGTTATCGAGGTGCTGGAAGATGAATCCTGCTCATTTGAACCACAGCCCCAAGGCCGTCTTGAGCCACAACCAATGGAAGTATGGCCCCAAGACTGTCTTGAGCACCAACTTATGGAAGTATGGCCCCAAGGCTGTCATGTGCCTAGTCAGTTCAAGCCATGGCCCCAAGGCTGTCTCATTGCATATCTACCTGAGTTACGACCCCAAGGCTGTCAAGAGCCGCTGATCACCTGATCATCAAGGCAATCCCAGATCCAATCGGGGTAGTCTGAACCCCTATTGCCCTGGATTGCCAGATCGGCGCACAAAGCGAACTAGAGTTACTTCTACCATGGAACCACATGGCCCTGAAGAACAAGCTGATGTGATGGTAGTCAGTCAAGATGGTGATGGTCCCGAAGATCAAGTGGCCCGCTTTAATGAAACCCTGAACCATATCTTGGACAGGCTCAAAGAGCTAGAAAATTCTAGATCAATCAAATATATAGAATTACTATTTGTTAATTCTGGCCATGCATTCATTAACAAGCACTGGACACTTTCTTTTTTCTGTGAATTGAGAAAAGGAGAACTTGATACGCATACAAGTGTCCTACATTGACACATGTATCTGTATCCATGCAAATAGGTTTTAAAATAGGATGTTGGTGAAAACTGTTAAGTTTAGTGGTGAATTAACAGAACATCATCTTTTTTCATGCTTTTACAAGCTGGTGGCATTTAATGTGTCTCTATCTCTTTTTGCATTTGAAAAATTTTCAGCTGTTGGAGTTAAACTTCTGCTATTCAGTCAAGGGGCAATTGCATCTTTTTCATTTTAAAGAAACTTGAGGTTTGCCCCTTCCGAGTTTAAAAAATGTTTAGGTACATTTAAGTGCATATCCAGCACTCAGTTCTTCACTCATTTCCTATGAATAATGTATGGATATAGAAACTTGACTCAAGAGTGTGAGTTATAGAGGAATTGATATCTACTATTGTCTATCTATGTGGGTGCCATGTGGCCTCCATGAAGGCTTTTATTAAACAATTTAGGCCGTGATACAAACACTTACTTTTATAGCGGTCAAGATACATACAAAAAAACTTGTGGTGTGAACTTTGACGATACCCTCAGAACCAGGAACAATTTGCTAGTTTGTAATTGTAAACATTAGAAAATCCTCTAGGCATGATTCTTTCATGGTCTATCTGCATCGTAGCTCAACTATTAGAAGCTTTTATTTCTTAAGACATGGCTTGTGTATTAAGACATCCAAGACTATGGCTGTGTATTAAGATATCCACTTGTTTAAAATTTAAGGAAAGTGTTGTGTAGAAATTTTGTTTGATTTTAGATAAGAGAGTGTGGAGATTAATTGAAATTTATTTGCAAAAAGATAGTATTTTTCTCTACACTATTTTCTTATGGGAATAGAGTTATGGAAACCGAGGGATAATGCTTCCACCTCATTCCTTTTAATCATGATGATTGATCTAAGGAATGAATGGATGAGATCTCTTCACCCTCATTCTTTTTATTCGGGTCACATAGTCCTTTCAATGATAAAATAAAGGACGTGTACTTGGAGGAGAGGAATGTAGTGCATATAAAAAATATATAGAATATCTAGGGTGTTTGACTTTAAAAAGAGAGAGAATGTCTGAGGAAATTTTTTTTGTGATTTGAATAGAAGGTATGGTAGAATGTCTGGATATTTGAAAGTGAGATGAGTATGTTGTGCAAGGAGATAGTTCTAAGTGAGACTACTCTCTCTCCTTTTGGATAAGTTGGCAGTAGATTTGAACTTAGGATGCCATGCTACAATTGTCAACACCATGCTCATCAAATAATGTGCTCCATTCCTTGCTCTAACATTGTTTCTGTTTTAGCAATGTCATTGAGATTTTGAAAAGTTTTAGACAGGCGTTTCAAGTTAAGTCGCTCTCTTTAATGTCATTTTAGATTTAGATGCTTCATGCAATAGGATTTCTTAATCAAAGGGAGGGGTTAAGTTCTGGTTTTCTCTCTCATGGAACCAAAAGGGTGCATGCAAACTTTGGATATATCAAGTGCAAAAATGCCAATGATGAAGTAACTAGAGCTTCCTTGGCGCAGCATCATTGCACAGCTGTATGTATCTCTCAGTCTTTACAAAGGTACTTGTGTTCTAATAACTGCTGTCCCATTGCACATGTTATTCCTGTTCTTGCTACATGCAACAAAGATCTTGTCAACGCATCATGGTTAATCTTTGTTATGGCTTTGCTTTCTGAATTCTCAAATATCTTTGTGTTCTATTCAGATCACTTGATGTTTGATGTTGGATGAATGGTAAAATGGCTATTTTGCGCATTCAACCCATGTACAACATCTTTTGAGTCGCTAATTGTCATCTTGTCCTCACCGTGTATCCAATTACTGGCTACAGTTCTGAAATCTCACTTTCTATTGCCATGCCACATTTTTTCTGCTTCATAGTCGGTAAGGGTGCTTTGCATACATTTATATTAAACATATCTTTGCATGAAATTCAACAAATAAGAAGATCACATTTTTGTGGCCTGGCATCAACAATTAAATTGACAATGATCCTTACAAACTTTGTTCCTTTGTGAGAAAATGGCCAAGTGGATCGCATGAAGTTTGACTTAACCAAATGTTTATGTTCCATGTTTCCTTGTTGTGTTGGGATTTGATGGCAATCTCTCTCCAGTCATTGCACATCATTTGTCAGGGAAGTCATGATAACTTGGAAAACTGGCATGGGAAGAGAATGCAAAGTTATTACATTGATGCTTTCTTTATGTGATCTATAGATAGCTGCAATGCCTATAGAATAGCTGAAGTGATGACCTCTCTTATTTGGCATCGGTGATATGGAACTTTCTTTGGTGTGTGGGATACTAGGTTCTTTCCAATTTTTTTATTAGCTGTTTTAATATGTCGAAATCCTGTTATTATATTTGGTTGTTTTTTTAGTTATGATTTACTTAGCATATGCGAAAGGTTTTTGGTCTTTATCTTATATTGCAATTTGATTTTGAAAAATCTTATATTGTAATTTGATTTTGAGATCTTATTGTACAAGTTCAGGAAAGGAACTGCAGAAGGGGTCAGTTTTGCCCGAATAAATTGATGGGTGAACGAGCTATTGAGCTTGGGGCTGGCCGTGGACTAGCAGGATTTGGTATGCTTACTCGCTCCTTAACATCATGGTGAACTTAATGTAGCAAACATTAGTCGCAAGTGAACTTAGTGTCTATAACAGTAGCCTGTATCTTTCTGTTGATGCTTGTTACATCATTTTTAGGCATGGCACTCCTAGGTTGCAATGTTATTTCAACAGACCAGAAGGAAGTACTGCCTTTGCTGATGAGAAATGTTGAGAGAAATATTTCGAGGATTAAACAAGCAAATTTGAATGTTCTGGGTATATGATGGTACTTGTCTATGCACTTTGTATCTCCAGTATAAGCTTATGAGTGGTCTTCTTTATTATTTTTCCTTTTCCCGTGTCATTTTGCTTGGAATGAAAGATTAGTACATTAAGTTAAATTTGTGGTATGGTGTATGCAGAGTACAGATTATACATTTTTGTGCTTTTATTATTTATTTTCTCTTGTTAAAAGTTGGAAAATAATATCTGAAAGCATCCTTGAACCCTTGCAAATAATTGAAGGCTTACAGTACCAAAAAACCATGTGAGGAAGCATGTTGGTCATAGTTGTTAGGAGTGGGAGTAGGATCGGGAGTGGAGTATCATTGTTTGCCAGAATCTCCCTAATGGGAGCATTCATAATTAGAAATAAGATATATTTTTAAAAAATAATTGAATGACTTCAACCCCTAGTTCTCTTTCAAATTTTGTCTAGAATGAAAATGTTCATCTTTCTTTAAAACCAAAAATTATATTGAGATGCATTTTGTAGGTTGGACAATGAAACCTGCCAAACAGCCAAAGTAGGGGAAGTTTTCCCTCTCCCCAACTGCAGGAGCACCACCTTGGGTGGGATCCTAGTGTCTGATTTTCTATCTGAAAGACTAAGTTTTTAAATTAAGAGATCATGCCATACTTCACTTGGTAGGGTCATCTTCAAATTCATCCACATCCTGTTCTTGACATCCAGTTCTTCTACATATATACCAAGCTTGTCCTAGGATGTTCTCATTTTCTTTTCAACAACTAGTCCTTTACTGCATAATATCACATTCTTACTAAAAGGTCAATTATTGTAAGTTTGGAAAACCCTTGAGGTCTACCGAATGATCAATCATTGCCAATGCTTGTGTATACAAAGGGCCGTCTAGAAACATTCGACTTGCCCAAACATATCTTGAAGGACTATGCCAACTCGTCTGTTATTCTTGAGAAAATTCAACTTCACTATTTGCTACCAAGAAGTGTATTAGTGGGAATGTAATGACTGGGTTATTGATGCAGTAAGAAAAGGTAGGAAATGAAATCCACCCTCTTTTCGATCCTCAAATAAGCAAAAAAGAACAGCATTAAAAAGGAGAACTATGGCTATGAATCAACCCAAGAGAAGAAGAATATCTCTTCTTTCATAGAATAAATCTGTTGACAATAACACAAGTCTCTTAATGGGGCATCCAAGTCCTTTTAGTACGAGACTTCTAAAAAATGTAAAATAAAAATTACAAACTCAAGTAAATTTCTTTACCTCTCTAGCTCACCTACTTTTTCCCTTTAGTCTCATGTATATCTCCACTAAATCCCCATATATATCTCCGTTAAATCCCTCAAAGCAAGGAAATCCCCTTTATCCCTTAAAAATAGGTTAAATCAAGGAAGTTCATGCCACCAAAAGTGGACTACTACACCAATTTTTGAGATCCATATAGATCCTACCTAAGAAATGAAATAAAATACCCTTTTAGTCTCCCAAAAGCTATTAATCCCCATAACAATAATTTGAAGCCTATGCATGTTCCTAAAATTGATAGATAAAATATATTTTGAATTCGGCTTTGCTTGATTTGCATCATACTCCCCTACTTGGAGAGAACTCATTCTCAAGTTTTGAAATAGGCTAAGCTACTGAATCCTCTACTAAACCCATGATATTCTCCAAGCAGAAACTTGGACATGGACATTGCTGCTTGATCCTTGGACCTCTAAGTTATGGTCCCAGTCAAAATATCTTCGATCAAATTGCTTAGGGTTTGGATGCAGAAAACATTAACAGCATGCATCTATGGTTGAAATCCTCTGATTGGAAATAGGAAGGGTTAGCACCACCATTGGTGAGACAAAAGAGCTCTTTGTAGTCTCTTCCACCTACCTTCTCATTTGTTACCTATTCACCACCACCATCAACATTGTTCTCATTACTATATCGGGAGCTCAGAAACCAAACATTCCCATTGTTCTAGGAACAATTTTGTCACTCTCACCCGGTTCTTTATGATCATTATCAAAGATACGACAATTCCCTTATTCATAGAATATTGAATCCAATTGAGGATTGAATTCTTTTTGTTCTTCAAGATTATGCTCCTGTGGATTCCATCGTGTATCGAACCCATCTATGTAATTTGACACGTCACTGGTTTGTTCCCACACTAACTCGAGCTCTAGCTATAAAAATCTAAACCCTCATGATTTGGATCCAACCCAGTAAGTCCCTCTTTGTTTGGGGCAGGCTGTTGTTGAGCTCTCTCGCGCAGCAGCTGTGTAACCCTCTCCTTTAAGATGTTGATGTTCTTATGCAATTGGATCAGAACGTTATTCGTATAGCCAAAACCTCCATGACCAGCCATTACAATCTCTAACCGTCTTTCAACCATGCTTTAATATCAATTGATGGAGGGATTTGAGAAGGAAAACAAAAAATTAACAAATTCGAACTAAAGCACAAGCACAAGTTGAAGGAAACCTCGGTTTCCTTCCCACAAAATACTAACTAGCTCACATGAATGATTTTCATCCCTCTTTATTAACTAGGGTACGAAGCCCAAAAATAACCTTAACCAAAATGAAATTAACTAAATAGTTCCAACTTAATCACAAAAGTCCATAATACCCCTTGTTTAAATTTAAAAATAATCAGTCCTAACTTAAAGTAATTTTGAATAAGTCCCTAACTTAAAGTAAAATACATAGAATGTCCCTCACTCCACCACGAAATAGAAGGAGTTAAAACTAAACAGAAAATAAACTGGAAAAAATCCCAAAATAGACTGAAAAACATCCCACTCAGTCTTGTTCTTATAGTACCTCATCTCTGGTTTGCATCTGCTAAATAATTGCAAGTGTTAGGAGGAACCTACTGCTCTTATAAATGTTAATCTTCACTGGCCCCACTTGACACACTTTGTACGTTATCAATTGTCTTTCTCAGACAAAATATTAAGTGCATGAGAATATTTTATCGATTCATAAAGAAGTTTAATAGGAATTTTAGATGTTTGACTTATTATTGTGAATGACCATCTCAGAAAGATGTGAAAGTAAGGTTTACAAGAAAAAAGGTCCTCATTGGTTCATTATTGTTGTCTATTAAGTCTTATGCATGAAGTGAGAGAAGGATACAAAGAATCCATTATTAAAACTTAAAAGAATTAGGGACTGTTCCATCAGTAGATCAAGGATTTCTTATCCCTATCACTTCTCTCTGTTGCTTTTGTTTATATTTCTCAAATTTGATGTGGGTTTGCTGGGCCAGGTTATTTCGCAGCCTAATGCCTAGAAATCAACAGGGGGTGCAAGGGAGGGGTATTTACATTCCTAAGACAATGGAGAGATATAGACTTGTAGAAAAAGGTCCTCATTGCTTCATTACTGTGGTCAATAAGACTTTTCATTAAAGAGAGAGAAAACTAAATCGAATCCATTATTAAAACTTAAAAGCAAGGAAATCTCATTATTTTTTTCGGGAAATGCAAAATGTACTCTTCCATCAGTAGATGAAGGATTTCTTGACCATCTCACTTCTCTCTGCTGCCTTTGTTTATATTTCTCAAATCTCTTTGACGTGGGTTTGCTGGGCCATGCTACTTTGGAGCCTAAGGCGTAGAAATTGACATGGGGTGCAAGGGGGAGAGGTAAATTGACATGGGGTGCAAGGGGGAGAGGTATTTACAAAGACATTGTTGAGGTGTAGCCTTATAAAATTTGTGCATCATGGAAAGAAATGCAGGATGGTGCTCTCAATGTTTGGGATCTCAGCTATGAATGGGTGCTAAGAGTGATGATTTTTCAGAGAAGCAAATCTGGTCTTTGAAGGTTGCACAAGGGATGTGTGAAAGGGTTTATTGTTAAGGAGAGGAAATAATTGCTACAATAAATAATCCCGTGCTTTGGTAGTGCAAATGCCATGAGCACATTGGTGTGGTTGGATGGAGCAGGGATATGGAATGAGTCATTAGTGAGGAGTGTATCCAAGAAGATGAGCAGGCTAGTAGAAGGAAGGATGAGGTGGGGAAGGTAAGATGTTTTCAAAGTGACAGAGTGGTGGTTCGACGTATTACAATAAGCCTGACTCTTTAGGAGCTGAGTTCATTTGATATCATTTCTTCCAATTGTACTGGACAAAAGTTGGCTCCCATCCAATCTCAGACTACTGTTTCCTTTCGAGGCTGCCGTCTCCATTTTAAAAGTCCTTTTTTTCTGCCTTACCCCATGTCAACTTTCACTAGTGTTGCTGATGGGGCTGCCTTCTCCATCGCAAAAGTCTTTGTTTCTCCCTTGTCTCATGACAACTTTCATGGTGTTGTTGATGCCTCTGTGGCATATTTTGTTGGGATGGTTTTTCCTTATTTTGGGAAGGGTTCCTGTTTTCAGATTTTGTTCTAGTTTTTGTGAGTGAATGCTTCTCTTTGTTTCTACAGCTAGCCTGAACCGTTTTCCCACAACCATCCTATCAATCCCCTATGAAGAGAAGATGAAGTCTTCCATAGTTGTTGGGTTGGGAGCTGGAGCATGGAATTTTGATGGGCTAGAAGCTCCCTACGGTCGGGATTGTTGTCTGTACACCCTGAATTTTAGCGATCTCGTACAAACTTTTTTGCATTGCATTATAAACTCTAAAGGTCGGAGACCCACCTGGTAGAAGCATCTCCTATCTCTTTGAAAAACGTATAGAACATGATGTGGCACCATAATTTTTTTTTTTTAGTGGATATATATTTTAGACATGTTTCCTCATAAAGGATCAATCTAACAGGGGTGTCTTTAATATGGACCAATCCTAAAGGGATTCGAATCGTGTTCCCCCCATGTTGGAGCAATATCTACCAAGATCTAGCTCAAGCAGTGATATCACCACCAAGTTGGGAGATCCCAGTAGCTATGAATCTCCACTATGGTGGTAAACGACTATTTATATCCCTTATTACATAATGACGTGCTTTTGTTCCTCATCAGTTTGACCATTTTGATAAAAGACATATCACTAGTCTGATGTCCTACTACTATTGGGTAATCATTGGATCTGTCCGTAATTTACCTCTCTCTGATTTATCTTGTCAATTGCACTAGTACTTTCAAATGTTTTCATTTTAGCGTTCTTTTAAGCATCATGTTCTGGCTTGTACAATCTAAACTATTGTTATCAGGATCAGATTGACCATTAAACTGATGGAGGCTATGTTTTAGTCGGTCTGGGTGAATCCAGCTGGTTCATCAGTCAGAACAGTCAAATTTTAAAATTAATTGAAAAATTTAGGAAAATATTAATTACATGGAAATCAATGGAAGAAAATAGAATCAAATCTTGAAAATCTTGGAAATTTCCAAAATATTTAAAGCAGAGAAATTATATAGTCATTTATAGACAACAGTAGAAGCCAAGAAGAAAAAAAAAAGAGGGTGAGGAGAATCAATTACACTCCCATTCCTCGAGAAACTTCTTGATAGGTTGAGGTGTAGGCTAGCAGCATTCAGAAACCACCTTCTAACCATCCCTTCCTAATACATAGTTAGAATTCCCCGATCTTGGAAACACAACCATATTCGAAGAGGGAGAAGGCATACACCACCAGGTGAGTGATAAATGAAGTAAAGACGGAACCAACGACTGTTCATCTTTGACCTCCATGTGCCAAAGTATACAATAGTTTATTACATACAGCATAATTGTATTAAGTAATATGTATTGATTTGAAGGGCATTAGACATGTAAAGTGAATCCCATGTTTATAGTCCACGTTGCATGCAAAGATCGTATGTTAATTCTTCAACAAGCCATTAAGCATCAGACACGATCTTCGAAAGTTTTAAGTTCAAGGCTTGAGGCCTCAAACTCACACATTCAAATTCAAAGTTCGATCCTATACTTGCAATTCATATGTAATTGAAGTTATAAAATATGAAAGAAACTACCTAGGTAGAAAGGGATCCTGGCCACTTAGGTGGTGCCTTGATAGGCTAGATAGACGCTTCATGATTGAGGATGCCCAAAACAGAGAACAGAAAGAAAAAGAAAGGGGGGAGGGGGGGGTGGATACTGAAGCCCTTTAAAACTTATTCGACCGTATGCTAAAAAACCATTTACCTTTGGTATAAGGTGGTCATAATCACCCATAGCCATCAAATGTGAAATCTGACGTCTTTTAGTGGAGCATGTCTCAAAGTTCTTTTTTTTTTGCTCCTTTTCCTGGTTAGGGAGGTGGGAGGGCAGGGTTCAACCCTGTTAATGGGACCCCCAGCTGCTCAATTTCACACCCAGTAGCCAAGGTTTATTATGAACTCATTGTACAAAATTAAATGACCTTATTGTGTACTTTCCAAAATATATTTAGTAAATGGTAAAGCGACTTCTTTTTAGCATGTTTTGTGTGGATGTTGTGTTGTTCTTCGTTTAGCATAGATACATGAATTTGAAACTTGAATTATTAGAACTTTAGAAGATTGAAACTTGCCCAAACATGAAAGCTGAGCTTGAAATACAATAAGAATCACTCGAGTCATACAACATTGTGAATATGAATAAAGGAATATCTTCTATAGAACACATAGGCCTTATGGATTAAACAATTATATTACATGCCATAGTCGGTCCATACCAACTTCATTAATCCTCAATTCGTCATTGCTACCAGAAGGTCATGAAAGTCAAAAGACTTAAAACAAAACAAGCTAAGAAATCTTAAATAAACTGAGGTACATTGTCATTATCATCACCACCACCACCATAGTCTGCCGCTTTTTCCATCACATCACTTGTTGCATCCGAAGCTGATGATGTGAAACCATGATCATTAGAGTCACCTTCCTCAAAATGTTTATCTTCTTCCTTTTTCTCCATAAGTGCTCTTCCTCCTCCCCTTGTCCCTTGCTCTTCCTTGAAGATCTAGATCTAGGGCCCTGACAACTCTCAATGGGCTTCAGCAACCTCATGAACTTGGCCCCATCTCAAACATTCTTTAGGGAGCACGACATCTCCAACATCGACAAACAACTCTCTAAAGTTATCCATACCTTTCATGGCAATGGGGTCGATGTGATAGGGCTCTTGATAGCTTTCTTTCAACCTTCTCATTCACCCAAAACAGAATGGATAGCTTTACAAGATCAATTACTAGTCTTCTACTCAAGTTTGTTGTTCTTTGTAAGGTTATGTTGGATAATACATGAATGCATTATTTAGGAAAATGTAATATATATTAGGTATGCCATAATATCACATATGGAGACTCCTAACTTACGAGTAATAAGACAATGAGTTAGAAAATTTCCATCAAAAGAGCTAAATTTGAACTCTCAACCAGATGAACTACAAGTCATTTTTAAAATCAAGTCATTTTCAATATGTGAGAGCCATCTTCTGCAAGTTCTTCATTTTCCTCTATTTGGGCCACCATAGAGCTACATTAGATAAAAATAAATTAAGGTATGTTACGATACTCGGTAAATTGGTGTTTTTAATGTTTATATATTATTAATACTAATATTTTTTTGAGAAAGGTTAACATTGTATTACTATGGAGTTTACATGCAATAAGATTGAGAGCACACCCTCCCATGGTGGCTAACAGTAAAAAATACATTAAAGCATTAGTCTTCCAAGATCAGTAAAGGCTTATAAGAAGCGCCCATCGTTTAGGATATACAATGAGATATACAAAAAACTGAGCACTGACTTGCTAGAAAAGAGAGGTGGTAGACTGTACTGTAGAGGTCCTGAACAAAAAAAAGGAGTTGGACCCAGTCTTTTGGTCAGTACGGCGTAGGTCCTAAACAAAAAAGGAGTTGGACCTAACTAGGGAGTCCAAATACAAACTAGCTACCTCCTTCGCCAGTAGATCTGCTAGACTGTTGGACATCCTCCAAGTATGCAACCATAAGACGCTGGTATCCTTGCATAAATATGAAATTTCATCAAAGATTGATGACAATTGCCAAGGAGGGGGGGACACGCCTCTAGCCCAAGAAATAGTGTTCGAAGAGTCACCTTCCACTATCAGTGAGGAGCCCCATGAATGTTTAAAGTTTCTCAAGCCCAATAGGAGATGCATGGCTTCTGCATATTGGGAATCGAAAGTCCCAAGATGGGCCGAAAGAGATAAGATGACTAAGCCTTGTTTATCTCTGAACACACCCCCTGCGCCTGAGGGACCCGGGTTGCCTAGAGAACAACCATCAAAATTTAGCTTGATGCTGCCCACTGGTGGGGGTCTCCACCTGCTGATTCTTGAGGGTTTGGGAGGTCTATGGTAGAGAATGTTTTGCCAATGAGGGAAGAAAGTGTTCCCGGGGATGCCCGAAAAGGCTTTATGATGAGAAGCCCAGAAAATGGTTAACGAGACTATCTTGTGGAAAAGGGCTGACAGTTGGAGCTGATCACCATTGAAGATTCTTATTGTTCCTTTCCAGCCATAGAGACCAGATTGTAGCAGCCACCGTGGCCTTCTTTCCAGCCAAAGGCCAGTGAGAATCGAAGTTGTAGGTGATGAGGGCTTTGACCGTGGGTGGGGTAACCCATTGGAGGCCGAAGAGTTGGAGTACAAGCGACCACAGTTGGCGGGAATAGTTGTAGAGAATGAACAGATGAGGGTTGGATTCCTCCTCACTGAGGCAAAGGCTACATCTATTAGGTAAGGAGAGACCTCTCCTTTGAAGTTGGTTGTAAGCGGTCTATGGGAGCTTGCGATCCAACAAAAGAACTGGATCTTTGGTGCAGCTATGGTGGACCATACTTTCGACAAGATAGAGGAGGGGTTGAGGGGAAAGGTTGGAGGTTGAATGAGGGCTTTGTAAAAAGAGGTTACTGAAAAAAAGCCAGAAGGGGATAGGCTCCAAACCAAAGAGTCGCTGCCGGAATAGGGGAGGAAGTTGGAGGATAAGGTACCCAGTAGACGAAGGAACTGAGTGCACTCATCCTCAGAAAAGTTTTTGTGGAAAGAAGGGCACCAAGTTCTTCTGCCATCAACAATAGGCAGTTCATCAGCAATAGTGGAGTTGTCATCAGAGGAGAGGGAAAAAAGGGAAGGTAAGGCCTTGCACAAAGGTGAAGAATTAATACTATTGCATAAATCAAGTACTTCAATCACAAATTCACCATGAAGAATTAAGCTTTTGGTCATCTGCCTTGGTACTATATCTGTTCCATTTGACTCCATTGAGATCCTATAAATTTTCAGCTGATCAGCTCCATTGTGATTAGTTTAATAATATACTGCTCACCCACCTCTGATATACACTGGTTACTATTTTAAGTATAATCTCTACATGATGAGTTTGCTCAGAGGCATCAATTGACTTCCAAAACATTCTCAGAATTCACCATAACATTCATGATACTTCTCTTCCAAGCAGTTCATGATCAATATTCTGATCTGACCGTGTACTTTTCCCATGCATCCTTGTTGGTTTTGGATGGATTGGTTCCAATTCTCTTTTGCACTCTGATTCCTTTCTTGCACCCGTATTATCAAAGGGAGAGAGAACTCCCATTATAGTTTTTCAAGAAAATAGTTTTCTTTTGGAATCAGTGTGCTATCAGGCTCTGCGTGTTGCAGTTGTGACTGTGTTGAATTTCCGCTGCACTGTTTGCTAGAGGTGGTGGACAAGGTTGCAAGAGGTGAGAAAGTGGTCATGGGTCTTCCTTTCTGTTTCACACAATAGCATATGTTTTCCATCTGGAGTCCCCGTCTCCAGATTCTGTCATTTGTTATGAGGCTCCCTTGGTATGCTAACCAAGTGAACCAAGAGGCATGGTCTCTGATCATGGATTCTCAATCTCATCAGCAATACTATCTCATTTTTTCCTTTCACTTTGTTGCATCTCGTGTATGGTATTGGGGGACACCTTAGAAAAATTGGTTATCTTTAATCCAAATGTTCCTTGACCTGATCAATGCTCCTGCCCCTTGTGAACATCTGACAGAAACCACATTGATTTGGGTACCTCTCTCTCTCTACAACTCTAGTTACATGGCCACATGCTAGGTCAGGCCAACCCCAACACACAAACCACCCCCATCATTGGAAGTGACCCAGATCATTGGAAGTTTACAAGTCTAAATACCAAATAGAGATGCAATCCAAAAAAATGAAAAGAAGTTAACAACACAAATTTTCTCGAAAAGAAGAAACCACTTTCTTGTTTCTAACTTCTCATAAATTTAAATCAAATAATCACAAAACCAAAAGCAAAATACTTACTTGGGAGGTTGACGTAATAACATGTTAGAAGGCCACAAATCCTGTCGTAAAAGGGCATCAGATTATAAGGTCTTGGGTAGAAAGAATTAGAGTGGAAAGAAAAATTGCAAAACTCTCTCTTTCTATTTCCCTCTCTTCAAATATCGGGCTTTTAAGTCTCAAAACTATTCTAGATATTTATTTTGATCACGAATGCCCCTATAAATGCCCAAATGACTAAACAAAAGGCGAAAATCCAGCAAAAATTGCCCAAAAATAAAATTCTTTTTTCTGTTTTTGTAGATTTTATTGTGGTGTAAGGAGTGGATGTTTCAGTCTACACCAGTCAAACCAATGTGATCACTAGATTGAGCCTTATATTCTCTGGTTCGGTTTCATGCTGGTCCAGAACCAGGAGTTTGACCGGTGGGACCACTAGCTTCGTGTCCGGCCCACCTGTACTATCCAGTCATGATAGCTATCTCAACTCTATTTATCGTCCCAACATGGCGCAACAATGGTCTTCATCCTATCAACCCTTCGCCATTATCCCCTCACCATAGCCACTTTCCGACCAATCAATTTTCTAATTTTCTCCTTTTCAATATAGAAAAAATAAAATAAAGAGAAATACTTTGAGTGCTTAAGCTAAAGTTCTCTGTAAACACTTACACAGTTGTAGCAATATAGGAGATTCGAGATGCTCTCTAATGCTGGACTTCTTTGGAATCATAGTATCATGATTCCAACTTTGGGTATTTAGACAAACGAAAAACTGAGTATTTTAGGTATCGGTTTCTGTTTGGGATTATTTCATCATGTGTATTGATTTTGGCCTTTGTTGAGTAATCTAAGTAATAATTACTAAAGTTAGTAGCGTGGGTTATTGATCACTTATGACAGTTTTTGAAATTTTATCCGTTTTTTGTTTTCCCACACCTTTTTTTTGGCTTACCTTAACTAAATGGTTATCTCAAATTGGCAAGTCATGAATAATTTACTTGTCTGCTTTTTTATTATTTGTTCTCATTTAATGCTTCTAGTTTTGATTTTCATAGATTATATTGATGCATTTAAATTCCTTTTTTTTTTATTGAAAGACCAAAATTCTAAAATATAGTTCCGTTTTGCAGTTATTTCAATCAACCATACTGAAAAACTGATTAACAAACTAAAAAATCACAATTACTCATCAAAATATCCACTCCGGCTCCAAAAATAAATAAATCGTCCACCCAAAGAACCATATTACAAATTACAATCATCCCAAAAGGCACAAACATAAAGGTACAAACTCATTACTATTTACAAGTTTACAATTTATAATATATATGCGAAATAGAGGAAATAAGTTATAAAAAAAAAAGAAATTTTTTCGTTCCAAATGAAAAAATCATCAAATGCCTTGTCGCTATAAATTTAAATAAAATATTGTGGAAATCTCAGGGTTTTAGGCTAGAGAGAAATAGGGGTAAAGCAAAACTCGAAGAGTCTCTCTCTCTCTCTCTCTCTTGCTCTCTCTTCTCCTCTCCTCTCCCTCTCCCTCTCCCTCTCCCCTCCTTTCCTCCCTCTCTCTCCCTCTCTCTCTCTCTAAATCGCTTTCAATCTAGAGATGAATGCCAATATTGAGAGGTTGAAACAGTAATGTGTCTATAAAGTCCTCTGTCATAAAAGGGCCTTGAATTAAAAGGTCTTTGGTAGATAGAAAGAGAGTGGAAAGAAAAATTGCCAAACTCTCTCTCTCTCTCTTTTCCCCAATAATCGGGCTTTTAAGTCTTAAACTGTCCCAATATTTGCTGTGGTCACAATTGCCCCTATAAATGCCCCAAATGACTAAAAAACATGGTAAAATCTGGGAAAAATCCTAGAAAAAATGAATTCCTTTTATTTTGTTTTTGTAGATTTTATTGTGGCATATGGACTGGATGGTTCGGTCTACACCAGTCAGACCAGCCAGTTCACTGGATTGATCCACATATTCTCTGGTTCAGTGTCATGCTGGTCCAAAACGACTGGTTTAATCGGTGTGGCCACTAGCTCCTTGTCTGACCAGCTAGTCCTATCCGAACTGGATAACAATTATCTCAACTCTATTTTTTGTTCCATCATCATGCAACAATGGCCTTCATCCTGTCAACCCTTATCACTGTCCCCGTACGAAAATTACTTGCCAACCAATCAATGGTCTACTCTTCTCCTTTTCAATATAGCAAAAAGAAAAGAAAAGAGAAACAAGCGTCATAGAGGCATTTACATAAAGATGTAGTAATATAGGATATTCTAGATGCTCTAGTGCATTGGACTTCTTTGGATTTGTGGCTTCATGATTTCCACTTTGGGTATTTGAACAAACAAAAAACTGAGTATTTAGGTATTGGTTTTTGCTTGGGATTGTTTGATCATGTGTATTGATTCTGGGCTCTGTTGAATAAACTACATAATAATTGCAAAAGTTAGTAGCGTGGGTTATTGGTCATTTATAACAGTTTCTAAAATTATTTATGTTTTCCCACTCCCTTTTCTGGTTTTTTTTAACTAAATAGTTAGCTCAAATTGGCAATTCTGGAATAATTTACTTGTTTGCTTTTTAATTATTTGTTGTGGTTTAACGCTTCTCGCTTTGATGTTCATGGATTATATCGATGGGTTTAAACATTGGAAAAGAGAGTTGTGGTTTAACACTTCTCTATTTGATATGCATGGATTATATCGATGGGTTTAAACATTGGAAAAGAGAATTGACTAGAACTATGATCACTGAACCTTAATGCTTAAATATGTGGTTACCTGGTGTATATTATCCCCTTTTTTGTACATATATAACTGCATTTCTTTTTTCCAAACATTTTACTCTGTAGTTTTCTAGCTTGTTATCATTTATCCGGTTCTTCAACATTGTGATCTTTGTTTTTTATTTTTTATCAACTAGCGTCGATGAGTTCCATCCAAGTTGCTGAACTAGATTGGGGAAATTCACACCAGATCGCAGCTGTTGATCCTCCATTTGACTATGCCATTAGCACAAACATTGTATGTTCTCTTGATAAATTCTGATTTTGCTTCTAACTAATTATATGATTGTCAAGTTTGCCTCTTATTTTAACATTCAAAAAAAAAAAAAAAAGTGTCCCACTTATTTTATTTATTGAGTAAAAGTTTGATCAGAGCTGAACGCAATCCAAACATGAAAATAAATAATTAATATATATATATATATATATATATATATATAGGTAAAGTTATATAAG